ACTGTAACCCATATTTCACCATCGCAGTGTTCTAATTGCAAAGCTTGTGCTATCTGCTATTTATTTTTGTGTTCAGGCAATGTTTCTTCAACTGAGCACGGCAATCGGCGCAGCTATAGGCGCATCGTTAAGCCTTCTAGCCGCTGGTGTTGGTCTTGGTTCGCTAACGGCCAAATGGAACATACCAGTGCTGACCGATGATGTGATCACCGGATGCATACTGCCGTTCACCGCTGGTGGATTTATTTATATCGCTATGACATCGGTTTTGCCCGATCTGCTCGGATCGGAACACGAAACCGGGGCAAAACGAACATCACACTGGTTTCGTCGGTTCGCCCAAAGCCTTGCAGAAGTTATCGCTCTAGTTGCCGGGATTGCAATGATGGCCGCTCTGGGACTGTTTGAAGAGTAAATCTGCTTACTGCCGAACTAGTCAATCGAAAGTGTATTTCAATCGGTCTTTTTCTATCTTCTGTGTTTGATGTTTTCCTCACCTACTATCAACCGATCCCCTTCCCTCCCTCCTTCCACATGCCCACCCACCCCCATTTGGTTTCTGGGTTATTCCCAGTGCTCCTCGTCTCTTGTGAATATTATGATCATTCGCTCATTTCTTCATCGTTTTCCTTTCTTTTCTGTTTGGAGGAATTTGAGCTCCGACACCAATATAATTGTACCCGTTCGTATATTTAGTTCCCCCTGTTTTGATTTCTTTGTTCTGAAACTATTCCGTACTAAGGCTTCGTCTTCGATCTCTTGCATTCAGACGATACTGTTCTCAACGCCAAAGTGGACCTGTTTTTCTGATCGTTGCAATATCTGTATCCGCCCGTGTCCATATTTCATAGATCCAAACTATGGTTGGCTGTCGAATTTTTCTCATTACCACATTCGGTTCATTGTGGACAACGTGACCAAATCATGTTGTTATTCGTATTTGCCGCATCAGAGAACAGTGTAACAGTTGAGCCGAAATAACCACAAAAGAAGCTTCGGGAGACAATAAAACAACAAATAGGGATTGAA